ACCTGCTGCTGCTGCTGCTGCTGTTGCTGGGTACTAGTAGTTGGCTGAGCCATGGCGCGAACTCCAACTGCTATGGTACTATTAGGAACGCTGGGGTCAGGCGGCGTACAAGGTCCCGTTGGCTGCCGAATAAAAGAGGTGCTAGATTTTCGCGGAGGATGAAGGGCACTGGGAAAAGCAGGAGTAGTGGCAACTATGGTACGTTCCACTACAATTGTCCTTTTTATTTTCGCAGTTCTTTCTGCAAATGTACGTTAGCGGCTATTATTCGAAGGGTTAACAGGCACGGCTGCGCCTCTGAGTATCTCCGGTACTGGCGCAGGCCGCGGGGGGGTGTTATAGGGACGCACTACTATTGGACAGCGGAACGGCGACTTGCTTCGACGAGGAAACAGCCATCCCACCTCGCTTGCAGCTCTGGCAGGAAAGCCTGAATTCCTGCAGTGGCTGGCAAGGCCCTCACTATGATGAGAAAGAGGAAAGACTCTGTGTTATTTGCGGTTCGATATGGTGGTCAGTGGTTAGATAGGCGGCAATCAGGCCGGCTGCAGGTCTGCAGGGAGGAAGTTGCAGGAAATGGAAGGAAGCCGTTGGATAGGTAGGCAACAACGCGGTGTTTTCAATCGCATTCCCGATCCTGCTTGGCGGGCCTTCGGGTCGGTGGGAAGGATCTGTGTCAGACGGGAAACAGCGGTGATTGGAAGAAAACCCGCCGCGGGGGAAACCTAGGGAATGCGGCGAGGAAATGACGAACCGCCGTGTTTTAACAATTTCGATTCCAATGGGCAGTGGTTTTGACTGCGCATCGCTCCGCGATCACGCCCAATTCCCACAGGCAGTTTGTTTTTCTCAAAACAGTTTCACAGGGACAAACAAAAATAAACCCTCTAGGAAAAGGCATGCAACCAGAAGAGCATCAACCCTAAACACCTTGCCACATTGTGTTTAGGGTTGATGCCTCCCATGTTTACTTGTCTTTCCCGAGAGGGTTTATATTTTGTTTACCCCAGAAAATAACTTTCCATGTGCGTTACGGCCACAAACTGCCCGTGGGAATTCAGCGCGATTGCGAAGCGATACGGTGGTCAAAACCACTGCCCATCGGAATTCAAAACAAGAAATGACGGCGGTTCGTCATTTCCTCGAATGCGGCAGCACCAAACGGGCAAGGAACTGAAGGATTGCGGGTCCCGTAGGAAACGCGATTGGAAACACCGCGCTTCAACGCAGCAAGCATTCCCTTCGGCTAATTCAACTAGCAAAGACAGCTACAAATTATGGAACTAGGGTACAACAGCATTACATGGGTGAACATGTTTTCCCTGCAGCCATTACATCCCACTGCCGGAAACACCAAGGTATTGGCCAATGATCCCTCGCACCTGTTGTATGCACAGGTGGCATAAAGCAATACGGTACCACCATTAGAATCTCGCAGCACACCCCACTCGCCAAGCAAACTCATTTCAGCAATGACATACGGACTATCCTGACACACGCAACAAAATATTCCCAACCAAATGATCCATGGACAAATCGTTGGTTTAACTTGAATTGAACTCACCTGCCAGTACTTGGAAACGCATCGGTCAACACAGCTAGTCTCTCCAAGATTCAATTCCGACTCCTTGTACCTGAATGGATGGCATGGTAGATGACAGGAACCAGTGCAAACAACAGGATTAAAAAGAAGAGAACGATGCATACCTTCGTGCTACAGAAATGTATCCTGACAACTGGTTGAAGGATAAGAGCAGCTTACTCAGTGAGTCAAAGCTTGTTGCTTGCTACCTTACCAACAAAAATCACAACGTGAGCTATAGTAGGCCATTTGACGGTAAATGATGGAAGGCAGAAAGACGAATTGAGTACTTACTTCTTCTCGTAGCACTTGTCAAAACACGTTGCCACCATGCTGTCATTGGCATCGAATAAGGAAATGGATTGGGGAAGGAGAAAAAGGGGCAGAAAGGCAAACCCAGTTGGAAGGGGGAAGTGAGAGGTTGATGTTTACAAACTACGGACAGGCACAGAGAGAGCATGCTGAGCTGCCACATTCATGCAGCCCCGTTGATGCAATCACGAATATGGCGAAAGGGGTGAAGGAGGGCTTGGTAGAGAGAGGGAGAAAGTACGGGGAAGCAAAGTAGATGGAGATAGAACGGAAGAGAAAGGAAAGAGTCGACGAGAGAAGGGGGGGAAGAGGAAGGAAAGACGAGAGGAAAGAGTGAGGAAAGAGGGAGAGGGGTTGGCGAGGGAAAAGCAAGGGAGGAGAGGGCTAGGGGAGTATGGGGCATGAAGGATGGGGTTCCAGACGGAATTCGGAGAGTGAATACTCACGAATTGAATAGGCTCACTCGGTACTCCATTTGTTGAGCTGCCATCTCATAGATCTGTGCGTGGATCAGGAAAACAATAACGAAGAAACACTGAAACGAGGATCGCGAATGTCGATGGCAAAGCACGACTCAGTTCCATAGCACCGGGATTAATCACTCCGCAGGCGAACCGCTGCCTGCTACCACAGCGTTTAAAGCGACTATTGACTACTGACTGACGAGTCGCGTGCAACCTACCGAATCTCGTGCAGCGTACGAATCTGGTTCCTCACTAAGTAACAACAAACCGCTAAGCAAGCATCTATTCGGGTTCGAACCCGGAATGAACTCCCAGTAAAGGTTCATGTGCCTGGAGGCCTCGCGAGAAACCCAGATGCTTGCGAGCTACGCACGGAAGGACTGAGGAGGACAGGTTCACGACAGGGAGACCGCACACCTCGTCTTTGTCGATCCCATCGGGCAGCGCCTGAGGAGCCGCAGCCTTTCCCGCCATGCCACGACCTCAAAAGGGCCAAACCTAACCGCTGTGTCTGTAACCAGGCTCTTCAGTAACGATCGTTGCACTGAAGCTGATGCTCAGGCAGGCGAACCAAGTAAGTGGCCTTCACGTTAGGAGGAACTGGGATGCCGACAGGATGAAGATGCTGTTGCTGAAGGTGGAAGTGAAGGACAGGATAGTTTATCTCAACGTTACGTGTGCAAATGAACCTGGAACGAGGATTGCACTATCGAGGTAAAATGGCGTGTGCAACCTTTCCAGCAGGTTCAAGACATAGCTCTATTTTGCAGGGGGTTTTACCCAGCTTGCCCTGCAAATCAGGGTATTGTTTGGGACAACCCGGCCAGCCACGCAACCTTGAGATGTTGGCCAGTGTCCATGTTTGTGTATTTGTTACGCGGCTGAATCAGAGTTCCTGGTTTCTCAACCCGGCCTTGAAGCCTTCTCTAATGGAGCACCTTGCGTGGTTTCCCCGTGTGGAGCACGTATCTCTTGAGTTGTTGAACACTTAAAATGGTTTAACTATTTGTTACAAACTGATGGTTCTTTTATAGGATGGCATGATTGATCGTCTGTGTGTAGCGGCGGAAGTGCTCTGTGATTGGTATAGACCCTGTCAGTAGAGAAATTTGAATCTAGACAGAAGTGACAATAGCAGTGAGATACATGCATTTATATAGGATGTGCCCAGCTGCCCAGCGCCAGCGCGCGCCCTGCTTCCTCGTGCCCGCGCGTGCCCCGCTGCCCAGCGCCCGCGCGTGCCCAGCTGCCCAGCGCCAGCGCGCGCTCTGCTGCCTAGTGCCCGCACGTGCCCCGCTGCCCAGCGCCCGCGCGTGCCCGGCTGCCCAGCGCAAGCGCGCGCCCTGCTGCCCAGCAGCAGCGCGTGCCCCGCTGCCCCGTGCCCGTGCGTACCCGGCTGCCCAGCACATACGTGCCTCTGCCCTGCCCTGCTAGCGCTGCCCGCGCCCCTGCCCTGCCCGCGCGCAAGTGTTGCTGCTGCAGCTGCCGCCTGCACGCTGCCCTGTACCGTGCCCTGCTCGTGAGCGCTTGCCCTGCCCGCACGCTTGCCCTGCCCTGTGCTGCTCTGCCTGTGCCGCCAGCTCACGCCCCTGCTACTGCGCTACAGCACAGTTGCTGCTGCCGCCTGCGCCCGCCCTGCCGTGCCGCCCTGCCGAGCCGAGCTGCCCTGCCGAGCCGCTTTGCCGAGCCGAGCCGCCCCATGCACTAGTGCTGCCCTGCGCCGCGCACCCATGCTGTTCTGTCCTACTGCTGTTTTAGTCTTGCTGCTGCTGCTGCTATCACTGCCACTGCTGCTGCCGTTCCTGCTGCTATGGCGACTCCCACTGTGCTCACCTTTGACGCCGAGGGCCACCCGATACAGTTTGAGTCCTGGCTAGAGGACCTCCACTGGTACCTGCAGAGTGTTGCTAGGGAAAATGTCTCGCTGTATGAGCATACCTCGGGGTCCCTCGCTGCCCCTTCTGACTCAGCGGGCCGTGTCCTTCTTTCCCAAAGGACTACTCGCGATGCTACTGCTGCCCTCGCTGTCCGTGGCCACCTTCCGCTAGACCAGCGCCCCCATTTTCGCCAGCTTAAAGCCAGCAGCTAAAATAGTGACCCCCTCCTTCTAGTTGGGTCCACTTGAAAGTTGAAGTGCTCCTGTTTTTTATTTCAGGCGCATATGATACTGATCGTGTTTCCACATTTCGTCTCAAACAAAATTCGTCGCAAGCATGTGCAAATGCGTCGCTCAAAAGTTTGCGACGTGCAAGTCTCATTTACATCCAGCGCCAAATTCACAACGTGAAGCATGTCCAACTCATGCAAAGCAAGTCCAACTCACGCAAATCAATAACATGGGAAAAACAAGAAACAGAGGATATCAGAGGACAAGAGAAGAACAGATAGTGCAACAGAAACGAGAGGAGATCTGCGTGAGCAAAATCCGCGGAATGGTAGGGAGATGGGAGGGGCATTGGGGAGGGTGGGATGAGCTGGAGCGAGGGCAACGAAAAGGGAGGGGAGAGAGCAAGGGCGACGGAAAGGGAGGGGAGAGCAAGGGCGACGGAAAGGGAGGGAAGAGAATAAGGGCGACGGAAAAGGAGGGGAGAGAGCGAGGGCGACGGAAAATGGGGGGAGAGAGCGAGGGCGACGGGAAGGGAGTGGAGAGAGCGAGGGCGACGGGAAGGGAGGGAGAGAGAGCGAGGGAACGGGA